AAGAGGCCCTGGCCGAATGCTTGCGCATCGATGCCGTCGTAGGACCTCCAGACGCCGAGATCCACGTGGGTGGCCCTCCCATGGAGGGGCCTCCTGCCCCTGATCCTAAGCCTCCTGCGCCGTCAGGAATCCTGCAGCCAATCGCAGCGAACGTACTGGTGAAGACTCTATGCGGCGCGCGAATGGCTCGCCCTGATCTGCTCAACGCCGTCTGCAAAACAGCTGCGTGCGTCGCCGAATGGACGGGGCAACAGGACGTAGATCTGTTCCGCACTACCTGCTAATTTAAAGCCACGACCCACTACCGCTTGTTATCCTAGGTGGGAGATCGCCGCGAAGATGTTTGGCTTCGTCAATTCGCGGGCGCCGATTTGGCAAGTGGCATCCGCACGCGCCGCAGCACCAGCGCGAACGCACAATTCCTGCGGGGATAGAACGCACGAGCGCTCCAGAGCTGCAGTTCCCGAAGACAAACAGCAGTGTCTCATGGCACGGGAGAAGCGGACATATCATCGGCAGACGGCGCGCTCCGAAGAGAACTCCTGCCGGCTCTTCCCTTGTGGGAGATGCTGCTCGGCCGCGAGCCGAGGGCGGGGTTCATGGAAGACAATCGAGCCGTCGTGAAGATTTGTATGGCGGGCGGGTCTCAGAAGTTAACGCACCTGCCGCGCGCTCGCCGCGTCGACGCGTCCGCTGTCGCGGAACCGTCTGCCAGCGGCACAGTGAACCTGGTTTGCTGTCCGATGCGCGATCAGGCCGCTGACGTCGGCGCGAAACGATTTGAGCAACCTCCGCCATGGACAGGGGCGCCCTATCTCGTGCAGGTAGTGGCCCCGACTCTCTGGGCAGCCCCGTCCCATCGGAAGTATTTGGACTGACTGTTTGAAGGCGAAGCGGGGCTTCCCCTGAAACCCGGGGGGATTCTCAAGCCGAAGCTCGGCGTAAAGTCCAAACTTCGGACCGGCGGCGAGATTCCCAGCAAGGAAGCCAAGAAAAAGCCCAAACGACAAAACAAGGGCAAACCTTCTGCTGAGGCACCCGCTAACCCCAGGGTTCATAACCGAGCGGGAACACCAGCGGAGATGACTGAAGAACTGGGGAATGCACGCGGGGGCCATGCTACCGATGCAGGCCCTGATGCCGCGGTAGGTTCCAGTGGAAGATCCCGGCGACGCCTTTTCATTGAATTTTGCTGCGGGCCTACCAGCTGGCTAGGGAATGGAGATAACATTCCCGACAAGTGTTGCGAGGTGGTGCGTTTGACACAAGAAGAAGACATGACCACCAAAGAAGGCAAAACGTTTGCCGTGGCCAAAATTGAGGAACTTGAACAAGATATGCAGAAGTAAGGTGCTGCCACGGACAGACGAATAACACCGTAAATGTCGATGCCATGTAAAGGCGGATCCCCTATGGCAATACGTAAATGAAGCCATGTATTACCGCTCCGGCAATGAGAAAGCAGTTAAGGCATTGAGGGGTCACATTATACTTTTCTGATGTTGTCGTGGGCAGCTCGTGATTTGGCTCAGGAGGTAAACCAGAGAAATGGCAAATGTGCCTCGAGTGGCCGACCCCGTGCCGATACTGGCACGATCCGCAGGGTAAAAAGCTTTTGAACAAGTGCAATATGGCGAAGATGCAGCTCCATGGCTGCGCGTGTGGTTTCAAGAACAACAAGGGGCAACGCGTATATATATATATATATATATATATATATATATATATATATATCCGTAAGGGCTTCGCCCCCTGCCGCTGGCCCCCTTTCTCGGCGAATGGGCCATGGGGGAGCAGGTTTTGGGCCCTGGCCCCGCGGATCTGCGTGAGGGGTGGCGTCGGATTTCAGAAATGTGGCACATCCCTTGCGTTTTTGGACCCTGGCCCCGCGGATCTGCGTGAGGGGTGGCGCCGAATCTCAGACACGTGGCAAACCCTTTGTGTTTTTGGACCCTAACCCCGCGGATTTGCGTGAGGGGTGGCACCGAATTTCAGAAATGTGGCAAATCCTTTTTGTGTTTTTGGACCCTGACCCCGCGGATCTGCGCGAGGGGTGGCACCGAATTTCAGAAATGTGGCAAATCCCGTGTGTTTTTTGACCCTGGCCCCGCGGATCTGCGCGAGGGGTGGCACCGAATTTCAGACATGTGGCACATCCCTTGTGTTTTTGGACCCTGGCCCCGCGGATCTGCGCGAGGGGCGTTGATTTTGAGCCCCCCCAGCAATTCAGACAACGCGCCCAGGTGGTGCTAAAAATTTGGTTTGGGCCCCCCTCCCCTCGCGCGCAGCAACCAGCAAGAAGCAGAACTGTAACGCTGGAAACTACAAGCTACAACTGGCAGAGGAAACTGCGAATCACGGGCCTAAAGCCTGGTGGCCCCACAAGGGGGCCGGCGGATATATATATATATATATATATATATATAGATAGATATACACATATGAAGAAGCCGTGGAGTATTGCTTCGCTGTCAAGTGATATCGCCGAGGGGCTTGTGCGCAGATGTGACGGTAGCCATGCGCATGTCGAGGCAAGGGGGAATGATTGCAAGCAGGCTGAAGAGTATGCGGATGAGTTCGCGAGAAGTGTCCATCTTAGCCTTGAAGGCACTTGTGGACAGAGCGTCTGAGCATATTGCGTTTCGTGCCTCTTCGAACGCTGCCCCTGCTGCTTTGCATGCGCATGCGCGCGCTGCCGCCGCCGTCTCGGCTCAGACCGGCGCCCCCGCGCAGCAGCCCAACGCGGCTGAATCGCCAGCCATGCCGCCTTTCACGCGCCGCCGCAGCTCGCCAGCGCCTCGCAGCTTCCGCTCCGGCGCCCCGGCAGCGCCCGCATCCATCGGCAGCGGGCCCCGCAGGTCCGCGAGTCACGGGGGGGCGGGGGGGCATCGGGCGCCCCCGTGCCAAACAGCGTCTATTCATAAGAGACGCTGCTAGGGCCATGTCCTGCATCACCCATGGTGGTCTGCGCGGTTTCTGTGGCAAGATGTCCCAGAACGGGCAAGATTGCCCGAGCGCGTTTGGATATGCGCCAGTTATGAAAACACTGCGCTCACGGGACATGTCTGACGAAGACAAGCTCCAGAACCTCGTGAAGGAAGCAACGGGCCTCGTGCATCTCGCCAAGGGTGTCCTGGGCGATGAGCGCCTCGAGCGTCGCTATCGCTCGGGGTGTTCTACTTTGGTCAACGCGTACCGCCCGGGCCATTTTACCATGCCACATGGCGAGTGGCACAGCGCTGAAGTGCACTACTTCACGAAGACACAAGGGGCTGACGAAAGCAATCAACACGGGGGCGCGATGACACCTGCGGCCCACCTGGGCGGAGGTTACCTCACCCCGCACTTGTGCCCATGGAGCAAGACCCCGAACCTGCACCATGTACTCGGGGTCGATCCAGTGGGGCGAGTCGACCCGACAAAGGGATTCCGTGACATATACTTTGCTTGTCACACCGACAGATTGGGGAAGATGCCGGGAAATGGGCTTGGCCAGGTCGGATTGCTCGCCGCGATATTCAAGAAGCCGATTTATCGACCTATGGTCGCAATCCTGCCAGAAATGCACAACGCCATCTGGAACTCAGCCAGCTCGGGGAAAGTGCCCTGGGTGGGGGGACTGGGGCCCTTCGGTCAGGGCGTGCATCTTCCAGTCATCCGGGACATCGTATCTCTCTGGCAGGTTCCCGACGACCTGGGCCGGCATCGGAGGATCCATATTTTTAGCGCAGTCGTTACTGCACCCTGGCTGGACGCGAAAGTTCCCATGGAGGATCGCATGACTCGGCCGTTCCTCACCCAAGAGCAAAACGAAGCCCTGCTTTGTGCGTGGTCCCAGGGCCCCACCGATGCTTTGTGCGAAGTGCTGGAAACCAATGCCCCTCGGCAGCTCTTCGAGTGGTTCATGGATCCGGTCTGGGATCGTGTTGACCAGTGCCGGCCTAGGGGGCCGCGCAGGTACGTCGCGGACAAGTTCTATTCTCTTCGTGCCGCGCTCCCCGACCATGCCGAGTGGACTGGCGTGACAGCGGGCCCCCATCGGGCTCTGCTGGGACCTGCCGCGCGCGTCCGCTACCCCACGAGGGAGAATGAAGCCCTCGGAGAGAGCGTCCTTGGGAAAAGATTGCTCCTGCAAGGTGTCGACCGCATGAAAACCTACGCGGGGTCAGCTATGACGACCTGGAGAAGCACGTGAGCGACAACCCGAGTTACGAAGGTGTTCGGCGCCCTCTGCGTCGCCCTGCATGGGATGGCGCCCCTTGGCCCTACGTCACAATGGGGGGCCGCAGGGCATCATGCAGGATGAGATGCGAGGATGAATTTGCAGACAGCCTCGTGCATTACGAATGGCTAAAGCGCTCAGATTACGTGTCCCCGGATCGGGAGCAGCGTGCCCTGCAGGGGCTGCCTGACTGCGAATTCGACCCCGCTCCGCTCTACAGGGTGCCGATGGCGAACTTCAACCTCCGAGAGCAGGTGAGACAGGACGCCCCGGCGGCTCGCGCGCGGTCAGGGATAAGTCAAAAGGCAGCCCCCGCGGCAGCGTGCCATGTACCGCCCGGGGAAGGCAACGCCTCGAACCGCTGGGGTCGCGCGAGGGCAGAAAGCCAGGGGCAGTCTTCGACGGGGGCGGCAGCGCGCGGACCGCCGCCGCCGCCGCCCCAGGATCCGCCTCGCGACTTGCCGCCGCGGAAGGCGCCGCCAAAGCCTCGGGCCCCCGGCGCGCCTCCGCCGCGCCCCGATGGCGAGGGTCGCGCGCCGAAGCCTCGGGCCCCCGGCGCACCTCCGCCGCGCGCCGCCTATGGCGAGGGTCGCGCACCGAAGCCGCAGGCCCCGGGCGCGCCTCCGCCGCGCACCGCCTATGGCGAAGGTCGGGCACCCCAGCCGCGGGCTCCTGGCGCAGCTCCGCCGCCGGCCGCCGCTGGCGAGGGTCGGGCACCGAAGCCGCAGGCACCTGGCGCTGTTACAAGCCTCCGCCTCGGGGCGCGCCGCCGCCGCAGGCCACTGGCGGAGCCCCGCCATATAAGCCGCCGCCTCAGTCGGCGCCCCAGCCGAAGGCAACGACCCATCGCGCCACGCCGTCCAAGGCGCCCCCGCAGCAGGCGCCGACGTCGAAGGCGCCGCCTCCGCAGGTGCCGCCGCGGAAGCCACCGCCGCCGCAAGTGCCGTCGGAGAAGCCCCCGCCTCCGCGCGCGCCGCAGCCGACGGACAACCGCGAGCCGCCGACGCCGCCTCCAGGCCACCCCTCGTCGGCCGGGGGGCCAGGCAAGCCCCCGCCGTCGCCGTTGCCGAGGCCGAAGGCGGCGCCCAGGGTGCATCACCCTGACCACGCCGCCACCCATGCGGACGGCATGGGCCAGCAAGCACCTGGAGACTACGCGAGTGAGAACACGGCGGGCCTGGAGGAGCGCTCGCGCAGAGTGCGCGAACAGCAGGGGGCGGCCAAGGCACCTCCGAAGGCGGACATTCCAGCCCGCGCCTCCGCCCATGGATCGGATGACATGGAGCAACAAACGACTGGTGGCTATGAAACCGGAGACGTCAGGGTTGGCGCAGCGCCTCCGCAGGAAGAAGGAACAGGGGGAGGCTGAGGAGGCGGCTGCGAACACCCCGCTCGGACAGCCCAATGCCGCCCAGTCTTGCGACACCATCTCCTGCGGGCGCCAATGGAGACCCAGAGTAAACCGAGGATCAGGCACCAGACCTGCCCGACGTGGAGATGGAGCCTCGCCCTCCTCAGGACGAAGAGGAGATGTTCGGCCAGACTCGGGAGGGCGATCCGAGGACTGCAGCCGACAATGTCGTTGAAGACGGCCCCCCCCCCGAGAAGACGGATGCCGACCAAACTGCCCCCGGCCCCCTGCCCCCGCGAAAGAGGATCCGATGGGCGCAGAAGGAGAGGATGCCAAGGGCCATGCCCGCGGTGCCATGTCCACTGAACAGGCGCAACAGCCCATGGCTGACCGCCCCCGCGCGGACGAGCGGGCCCCCGCCGAGGGTTCGTAGCGGGCCAAGAGCAGCTGCCGGCGCCGACGAATCCGAGGCGGCAAGGAAGGGGAACAGTTGCGCCCTCGCGGACGAAGTGGGCGCACACGGCTACTGGAATGCCCTTGACTATTGTCGCGAACGCTTCAAGAGAGAAGGCAAGCCCGACCCACGCCTCGATCTGAGCGTCATGCCGCCAGGCGGGCCGAGACCTGAGTACGCCGCCGCGCTGAAGTCGCCGGGTAAAACCCTTGCCATGATCAGAAAGCCTGAAGGAGCCCCTGCGTTTGCCGTGCTTGACTTTCCACAAGCGTGCGCGGCACTCAGTGGCCTCATAAAGGCTGCAGGAATCCCTTCTAGCATCTCAGGGGGGGCGATCTACCAATCGCTGCCTATGGCATGCCGTGTAAAACGCGGTTCAGGCCGATGCCGACGAAGAAGTGGGCCGGCAGGCTTGGGGCTGACATGGACGAGGGCGATAGGATTTTCAACGACGTGGAACCTCTGATTTCCTCAGACTCGACAGTGGCATTTGTCAGCTCCAAAGGAAGGCCCGCATTGAGTAGCGCCCACAAGGAGCAAATCAACGCGCGTTCGTCAGGATCCCTCATAACCATTCGTAATGGTGCAGACCTGGACGCCATTAGAGCCTCCCTACCTTCTCTGAGCTGGGGGGGCCCCCTCGGGCACTGCCCGACCCGTTGTCGGGTCATAGTTTGGAATGGCAGCGAGCTATGCGAACGGCAAGATGGCATTCGACGGCGGGTTAAGGGGTCACGACAAGGGGATAAGCCTTCCGACTACGACGAACTGGAAAATAACGCTCTATCCATGATAGATGACGTCGTAGACGAGCAGGCATACGTTGCCCAGACTACATGAGCCATGCTCGTGATGCTGCTTCTGGGTGATGGCCAGAGTTGGAGGCAACCGAAAGGAAGCTCCGATCGACGCATCTGGGATACCCTTGCCTCCCGCGTCTTCGCGCGGGGGCAGGGCAGGATCGATCTCCACCAGGAGGCGGGTCAGAATCCTAGGATGCCGTTATTGCGCGGCTCCGAACTTTACCATGGAGGGGAACATCCCGAAAACAATGATTTTCACTTCTCCTGGGTGGGAAAAGCTACACATTTGCTGCCGAGTGCGCCAAATACATCATCAACGCCGCTCAGGTATGCTACGAATTGCGTTGTCCCGCATTCGACGAGATGGACCCTCCTTGCGTCCCCTCGTCAGCTGCGGCCCTGCCTCCGCCTGCGGCTCCGCCGCCGCCGACTGCTCCACCGCCGAAGGCAGCAATGCCCGTGCCCGTGCCTCCCGGCGCAAAGGGTCCGATAATGCGCCATGTAATATCCACTGGCGGCCACCATGCGTGCTGCCAGGTGGGGGCACTGCTGCCGTTCGGCGATGTCGGAGCGCCGCAATACCTGCCGCCTGAGTCCGCCAACATCAACTCGAACGACTTCCGGTTGTGGTTGACGGAACATCACGACAAAAGGCAGGCATGGGCGGACCGGCGATACACCGCCGTGCCCTACGACGACGTGGTGGATATCTACGGGGTGGAATTTGAGGCAGGTGCTCCCATGGAGGTCCTGCCTATCGACAACAGAATAACAGAAGTGCTGGAGGCAGTCGAGAAAGGTGCGGCAATGTGGCACTGCTGTTTTCGGCCAAGTCTCGCTCTGCGCCGGCACCGACCGTGTAGGAGGCGACGCGAGCAGCGACCGAAGCAACGCCATCGGGATCTGCCCCCACTGGCAAGCCCGTCTGGGACGCAATCATCCAGAGTTTACTTCATCACTCGACGATCAATGACGAAGAAGAACACGTTGTTTGCATCGTCGGAAGGGTCGTGTGAAATGCCCACACTTCTTCGAGGCATGCGAAAATGCCAGAGAGCTGTGGTCATGCAGCTGAGGCCCGGATCTGCGACGCTGCCTCTCGGCCAGATTACACTTCGATCTCACCAGTCTGTCAACTACGAATTGGTGCTTATACCCCGAAAGAGGGAGACCACAATCGACGAGTTCCATCTGACTGAACAGTTCTTCGAGAACGATAAATGGCACAATGCGCTGAAGGGTCGGGTTGCAGCTCGTGAGTGGGTACTTAGTAGAATGCGCCTAGCGCGTTCCCCACGCATCGCAATGAAGTGCTGCCTAAGGATGGCCATCGAATACTTGGTCACGAGGCGGCTGCGTACGACGACCATCATAACGTATCGTGTTCTGCTCTCTTCGATTGGGGCAAGGCGTCATTCGTTGAACGTGAATCTCATTCCATGATTGAGATTCCGTTTCGCGTCCATGAGAAAGTCAGGCAGGGGAGATGGGTGACGTGCTCCCGCGCCACCGATGGTCGAAAGTTCTACGCGTTACTGACTGCTGGCGTGTTCCCCCCCTCCAGGGAGAAATGGGGTATGAGGGTCAAGACAGACCAGAAGGCGAAGACTACAAGTTTTGCCGGAAGGGGTCTGCGCCCTCCGCGACACCGAGCGCATCGCAGCCCCGTCGGAGGATGTAGGAGGTTTCCGTCCCATAGACACGGAACAATAGGGGGGAAACAGTGCGTATGCGACAAGCCTGAACTCATAGTTCGGTTTTCGCTAAGACTCTATTTCATGACGCCTAGCCAAGCCAATGAGCGTCAAGTCGGGGTCTTCCATCCGCATCACCCCCGCCACTTCGAAGTGGGCTATAAGGCGCTGGTAGACCCTGCCCCCGACCCAGAGGAAGGGGCTCCGGCGTGGCAGATTGACAACGCCTTGGAAGAGGGAGTGTTCAGACATAAGCCCCGCGCCGATTTTCAAAAGGCTGGAGTGCGGAGAGTGGTGCGAGGACTCTTCCAGTCAGAGAAACAAAAAGTAATGGTGGCCGAGTTGGACTAACTGAGGAGGAAGCACATGCGGTTTTTTAAGATAGAAGGCTGGCAGTTCTGTGAATTGTACTCCGATTCTTTGATGACTGAAAACTTCGAAGAACCAGTCCTCGTGGCCCATGGCCTTCAGGACATTATGACTCCCCTCACGCAGGCTGGGCTGCCACGTGAACGCCCAGATCTGCGAACAATGGAGATGGATATGTCCATGCCCGGGATCTCGGACCACGATTGGAAGCTCTTCCGCGAAAAGAAGAAGGACAAATAATACAAAGGAAGACCTGATCAACCTGCTGTGGGCCATGTCCCAGGCAGCGTCGAACCCGATGGGCCGCCGAGGTCCAAAGGCGTCGTTCGCCGTGGAGGCCGCGAGGCCGTGCTTGCGGAAGCGGCAAAGAATTGGCGCGAATGTCAATCGGGGGGACGACGAACGGATTGGGGCAACATTGGGCTTGCTGACTTTGACCGCTCAATTGCGGTTGGGGCCATGGTTGGCCTCAATTTGGTTTCAATTACTGGCCATGGGGCAGCGTGTTTGCTGTTCGCTGCGGACCGCCGGCCACGCTTTGAATTCCCCGAGGGGATGCCTGCCGGCCAACGGCGTGATCCCAGAGTGGGGGCCCCAGACTTCCAGCCTCCACCTCTACTGGAGGATGCTTTCCTTTTCAAGCGCCGCAAAAAAGTAGCAGCATCACCTGCGGCGTCTTTGATGCAGCAAATCTGGATTTGCTCGACACTTGGATGCTTCAGGACCACCAAGGCGGCTGTTTCCCAAGATGAGAAAATTCACCTGGTGCGCAAATGCTGCCATTGCCAGCAGAGAACAGCCGTGCACCTGGACCGATGCCCCCTGAGGCATCGGATCTACAGCCGCTGGGCAGACGCCCATGGCGGAAAAGCACCAGCCGACGTCGTCGAAAACGAGAAGAAACAATACGTCGTCGACCTGGAAGAAAGCTCGGGTGACCCCGTGTCAGACCGGGATGCGAGACAAGGCAATCTGCGGGATCCTGCGAAGACGCCATGCTGATGACTCGTCAGGAGAGGAAGAAGGGGTAGCAGATGCGGTCGGCCATGTTGACGTCGCAGTGATTCAAATCGACCTCGAAACAAGACCGTATATTGCCGGACCGGGGTCCCCATTCGGAATGGAACGTTCTCGGATCGAGGGTGCATTGCCACTTCTTAAAATACAAACAGATATCGGAGGAAGAGTTCAAGGAGCTCGAGCTGTCCACGGTGCGAGAGTGGAAAAGGACCTCGAGGAATTTGGGCTGGAACACGAGGAGTTAACTCACGAGGGCTTCCTCAGTCAGGGAAGGCGTAGCCTCCTCTTGGCGACGGACAGGTTTAAACGGGATCACCTGTCATCAATATCCCCGACACGAGCTCGTCTTATTGACGAACTGCGCAACGACAGACCCGTATTGGCAAGTCAACGTCTGGGCCGTGCGCTGATCAGCGACAGGCTGTCTGCCGATGCTGACTGTGAGGCCGATCCGCTCTTGGACTATTTTCGACGATTGTTTCCAGAAGAGCGCACCAGGGTGGATAATTACCTACGCGCCCGATATCACGCAATCGAGAGCGACCACTTGCCTGGACCAGACCATGCTGGTGCCAATGTACCCTCATTTGCGTCCCAAGCTTTACGCCATCGCGTGTGAGGTGGGACGCGAAGAGGCTCTGCGATTGGGCGGGCTGGTCCTCCACCTTCTCCGTCACAGCTCAGCCCATGTGCTGAGCTTGGGAGGATGGGTGGACGTGGATGTGCTGATACGAATGCTCACAAACGTTGGCTGTGACCGCCCGTGGGCAAGATGTGTGCACGCCATCTCCGCGCTTAACCCAGAGGACGTGCAGATGCTGGGAGTAGAGATGGACACGGCAGACACTGGCCCAACATCCCGCCCCATGGACTGGGATGATAGCTTCGCCGCAGTCGTTCGCAAAGGGGTCGGAGCGTTTGAAATTGATGGCGATGCAGACGCAGCCCCCGCCGACTGCGATGGGGAGCAGATCTTTGTGGTCCCCGCCATTCGCCCGCTCCTCGTCAGAGCTGTGTGTGGCGATTCACTGAGTACCATGTGTCCGCACAGGCAGAATGTGCGGCATGACCCGAACATGAGCGAGAAACACGGAGCACTTTTGTTGCCATTGGCCGCCGCGGACGTTCGGCATAGTCAGGGAGGCGAAGTGGCCCCCCTGTGCGAGGAAGCTACGGGCCTGCGTCAGCACGGAACCGTGGCTTTTACTGTCGCCTTGTCTCCACACGCGTCGAAGATCCATGATCTAGACGCGCTGGAGGAGGTATACGAGCCTCTGTGCTATCAAGAAGCCAGAGAACTGGTTCAGCGAGACGACCGGAGAGTTCGCCTTGAACAGGCCGGTCTTTTTCCAACCTTCCTCCACCAGGACGGCATGTCGAGGGACTTCGACGGTGGCACCGGCAAGTCCGTGCTTGACTTCAACCCGACCATTATCGAAGACAAGTACCTGGCCACTCTGAGCTCTGAGCTCCAGGCGCATTGAGGCCAATCCGCATTGGATTTTGCCGACAGGTCAAACATTCACGGAAAAGCTTCCTGACTGGGGCAATATTTGGCAGATCTTTGCGGAAACGGAAGCACCGAATGACAAAATATCGTGGCGCGTCATTTGCGACCAGCGCCTGACCATGCTGCAGGTCCTCCCCACCCATGAGACAGGTTGCGTCGACGTCCTGGAGCCCGATCAGTTGATGAGAGCCGGCCGCCATGAGGATCGGCTCGGCACTGTGTTATGGGAGGCAGTCAGGCAGCCCCCTAAGTGGGAGGGCGACGTATGCCTCGTTTGCCATCTGGGACACAAGTCCAGATATGGCAGGATGGCCATCCCATCCTGCCAAGATGAGATTATCTATCAGGCGACTCCGTGGCAAATCAACCGAGTCTGTTCTGCAATTGATTGAAGAAGCGCCAGTGTGCTCAAAGATCCGAGGGTCGCCACAACGTTCCATGGACGTGGCGGTAGGAAGAACAAACAAAAGACAAGAGCGGTCCATATACATAACTCAGATAGGACTCAGGCCCGCTGGCAAGAAAGCTGGAAGCAAGACAACTCGAGGGCGGCGCTGGCGCGCTATTAAGCCGCAGTGTCGGATAAAAAAGCTACCCTTTCAGCGGAAAGGTCGGTGCCCGCCTGGGTTCCATTATCACCTAAGGTCAAACGCCCTGCCCATGGCAATGAGGCGCGCGAAGTCACAGGCCACAAACTGGCACGCTGGTGGATGATGTACCAGCAGTATCGCGGCTGGCGACCTACTGGCTTCAATGCAACATGCCCGTCCTGGACATGGTGGGCATATTTGTCCAGACAGGTGGATCAGACTGATTTTGGCGCAGACATGAGCGTCCTCGACGTCTTCGATTGGGATACTACGGACCCCGAAGCTCGCGAGAAGCACGATCCCAGCGCGGGATGGGAGGCCTAGTGCCACGACCACCGCTACGATATGCCGCAGACGCTGAATGAACTTTGGCGTGGTATTCAAGATGCTATTGGCAGCCACTGGCAACCGAGTGAAGAATTGGCCGGCATCGAGGAGGAAGGAAAACTATGAAAACCTTCAGAGGACAAGAGCGCGTCGCTCGGCCTCGGTCCGGCCATCTGCCCCTGCCCACGGCAGACGTGGCAGGTTGCGCAGTCGCAAGAGGCGTGTCCGATCAGAAGATGCGCCGAGAGCATTTGGAGGACGCGCCATGCGCAAACGGGGCAGATCCTGCGCCCCGCATCGCAGGACTCACCATGCTGACAACATGCAACCTATCGATGTGCACAGCATCCAGAGGGCGGCCGAGGAGCTCGTTGCGTACGTCGCCGCCCATGAGGGGCCAGAAGAGCACCACCGCGCGACTACCGTAGCCACCGGCGAGGCAAAGAGGCGCCGGATGTGGTACGAGCCGCCCGAATTCTCCGCTTACGATCCAGACGACATGGATGTCGGAACAAATCCACAGGCTTGCCATCGAGCTTGCCAAAGACTTCGACTGGACAGAGATCGACGTAGCGGTTGCTGATGAGGACGCCATGCGCGCGCATCTTGAAGAAGTCGATCAGTGCCGAACCGATCTGTTGCGCGAAGTCAGCCTACTCAGGGCGCATCGTGAGGCACTGCGTCTGGCGCACAGAGATATCTACCGGCATCGGACAGACATACCGCCAGTCTCCACTGATGCCCACAAGATTGAGGCGTGCATGCAGTACCTGCAGCAGTCGCGGGCGACGGCACCCAGGCGCGGCCTGCAGCTGACGCCCGACACTTTCCAAAGCGCCGCCGTTGAACGGTGGCTGCTGCGCGTGTGCGAGGCTGCGGTATATGCCGTGAAAATGTGGCAACGGCACTGGGTGGCGACGCTAGAACCAGAACAAGAGCGCCCCACCTCCCGACTGCCCGCGGCACGAGAGGCGCGGAGAAACCAACCGCAAGCAACGGCCGCCAGGGCGGCCCGCTCTGCAAGCCGCAAACGCGCCCTCACTAGATCTTCAGTACAGGAGGACAGGGCGGCCGCGTCCTCGCGGAAGGGGCACGGCAAAGGCAGCCCCTCGAGTGGCGCGGCCCCGCCGCCTTCAGAGGCAGCAGAGACAGGAAAGGGCAAACGAGCCCGCGAGAAGGGGGGCGGCCGTGCAGCGTCCCCTCCTGCGGTGCGGTCGTGCCACTATGCGGATTTCCGCCGATCGGCCCCGAGTGGTGCCGCTCCATCCGCGCCCCAGCGCAATCAGCCCGAACCAGCTCCACGCCCATGGCGTGATCGGAGGCAAAGCCAACCCCCAGTTGACCACGCCTGGAGTGCGTGGCGGGGCTCCTCCATCCGAGCCAGGAGCAAGGGGCCGGGCAAGCATGACCGCGGCAAGGGCGGTCATGAGAGCTGGGGCGATCGCCGCCACGACGCCAGAGATTACCCATGGCGACGCGGCGACGGATGGAACTGGTGATAGCACCAGGCGCCCATTGCGCACTGGTGGCTAAACCAGCACAAACACCATACGCCCATGGCTAAATGGTGATTGCGACGTGGCGAGCTGGGCTGCTGACGGCTTTGAGAGCCTCGCGCCCGCGCCTGCCTGAATTTGGCGCCGTCGGAGACGTTAGGTCCCGATGGTGCTACGTCGGCCCTGGCCGGCCGCTGCGGCTGGGCCGCCGCGGGGGGAGTCGTTACCATGCGCTCCTTGCCGCCGCATATGTGCACATATGCATTTACTTGAACACGGTGTTGGCCGCTCCCTAGCTGTTTGGGTTCGGAGGGAAATAAAACGCGCGCGCGCCCCGCAGTCTCTTTCGTTCCCTATCCGCTTAACGGACAGTCTAACTTCATACTTCTACGGCTTTCGCCGTTCTCTTGGCCGCCATGGTCTCTCGGGAATCCTCGAGCCCATGACGTTCCTTGGAAACTACGCTGAAAGCACTGAACTTACTACCTGAATATCCTGATGATATTGGCCCTGTTGGGCTTAACTTGGGTAAAGATGGGAAGCTGAGGAAGTGGTGGAGGAGGAGGAGGAGGAGCAGGTGGAGAAGCAGGAGGAGGACGAGGAGGAGGAGGAGGAACATGATGATGATGATGATGATGATGATGATGATGATGATGATGATGATGCTGATGATGATGATGATGATGATGTTGATGATGATGATGATGATGATGACGATGCTGATGATGTTGGTGATGATGATGATGAGGAGGAGGAGGAGGAGGAAGAGGGGGAGGAACAGGAGGAGGAGGAGGAGCAGGAGGAAGAGGAGCAGGAGCAGGAGGAGGAGGAGGAGGGACAGGAGGAAGACGAGGAGGAATACGAGGAAGAGGGGGAGGAGGAGGCGTTGGAGGAGGAGGAGGACGAAGAGGAGGAGGAGGAGGAAGAGGAGGGAGGAGGAGGAGAGAGGAGGCGGAGGGAGGAGAGGAGTAGGAGGAGAAGGAGGAGGAGGGAGGAGGAGGAGGAGGAGGAGGAGGAGGAGGGGAGGAGGAGGAGGAGGAGGAGGAGGAGGAGGAGGAGGAGGAGGAGGAGGAGGAGGAGGAGGAGGAGGAGGAGGAGGAGGAGGAGGAGGAGGAGGAGGAGGACAGGAGGGAGGACAGGAGGAGATGATGAGGAGGAGGAGGAGGAGGAGGAGGAGGAGGAGGAGGAGGAGGAGGAGGAGGAGGAGGAGGAGAGGAGGAGGAGGGAGGAGGAGGAGGAGGAGGAGGAGGAGGAGGAGGAGGAGGAGGAGGAGGAGGAGGAGGAGGGAGGAGGGAGGAGGAGGAGGAGGAGGAGAGGAGGAGGAGGAGGAGGAGGAGGGGGAGGAGCACGAGGAGGAGGAGGAGGAGGAAGAGGAGGAGGAGGAGGAGGAGGAGGAGGAGGAGGAGGAGGAGGAGCAGGAGGAGGAGGAGGAGGAGGAGGAGGAGGAGGAGGAGGAGGAGGAGGAGGAGGAGGAGGAGGAGGAGGATGAGAACGAATACCATTACTAATAATAATAATAGTAATAATCATAATAATACTAATAATAGTAGTACACATATTAAGAAGAAGAATAACAAGAATAAGAAGAACAATGAGAATCATAATAAGAAGAAGGAAGAATAATAAACAGCATAAGAAGAATACTCATAACAATAATAATAATACTAATAATACGAACACGAATATGAATCATAATAAGAAGAAGACGAATACTAAGAAGAAGAAGAATAAGAAGACGCAGAATAATAACAATAAGAAACCGACGAAGAAGACGAAAACACATCAGAATAATATTCAGAACAAGAAGAATATCACGAACCATACTAAGAAGAAAACGCATACGAATAATAATGATAAGACGAATAATTATACTAAGAAACACTAATAATAATAACAAGAATAAAACTCAGAAGAAGCATAAGCAGAAGCAGAAACATAAGCAGAAACATAAGAATAACACAAATCAGAAGCAGAAACATAATAATAATAATAATACTAAGAATGAGAAGAAGAGGCCGAATCATAATACTACGGAAAACATAATAATAAGAATAAGACGAATAAGAAGAATACGGCCAATACTAATATTGATAAGAATAAGAAGAAGACTATTAATAACCATATTAATAACAATAATATTAATAATATTAATAACATTAGTAACAATAATACTGATAATAATAATACTAATAATAATAATATTAATAATAATAATACTAACAATAATATTCATATTAACAATACTAATAAGAAGAATAATAATAATAGTAAAATAATAATACACACAATAATAAGAATACTAATAATAATAAGAATAGTAATGATAAGAAGAAGAATAAGAAGAGGAATCATAATAATAAGCAGAAGGAGGAGGAGGAGGAGCAGGAGGAAGGCGAGGAGGAAGACGAGGAGGAAGACGAGGAAGAGGAGGAGGAGGAGGTGGAGGAGGAGGATGAGGAGGAAGAGGAAGAGGTTGAGGAGGAGGCGGAGGGGGAAAATGCCATGAGGTTCTTGGTGCTTTTGGAAGGCCCCAGACTTCCAGATTTTTCGGGCCTTAACCCGTCGGCTACATTGGCCACGTGGTTTCATGTCGCGGAGACAGCGTTTTGCCAGGTTCAAAGCATCTCGGCCGAATTAGGGTCTCTGGGTCTCTCGTGTGGCTGCAAGTTTCTGCTCTTCCCCCTGCAAGCTGCGTGTGATCAGGGGCCTCAATGGCGGCCTGATCTCGCCACACATGGGTGGCTATCTGTTCGCCGGCTCGCAACTTTGCACTTCAGACCCAAGCCTTCTTGCGGGAGCAGCGCGGGGCGCGTCCACGGACATTACGCTGGCCATGGCGTTGGCGCTGCGAGCATGCTTCCCTCTTACGTACCAGGGCACGATATCGGGGTGACCTCCCCCCCTCCTCGAAGAGGGTCCTGTTCAGTCAGGGCCCGTCGACGGAGACCTGGTGTGCATGTTGCTCGGGTGCCCGCCGTGGGGTGCCTCTTACCAGGGTGCCTGATGCGGTGTTTTGGTGCTTCCTCTGCGGCCGCATGCGAAATTGCGGGCGCACACAGCGGCCCGCGTAGCGCCCGCCTGATGGGAGGCACGGCAGCACTCGCTCCGCTCGCTGACGCCGACGCTAGCGCTGCGAGCCCGCCCTCCCCCCCGCCGCTCACGGCGCCACCGCAGCGTCCACAGGGTTCCTGCTCTCGCGCCACGCGACGGCGACGACGCGCTCGACTTTTTGTGAGCAGCCGTCCCCGCCATCGCGCCCACTGTCCCGCCGCGGATTATGGACACCGTTTCACCCGTGGCCTCCTCCACCTGCTCCCCTGCTGCTGCTGCTTCTGCGGCCGCGCCTCCTCCTCGTCCTCCTCGTCCTGGTCCTTCTCCTCCCGTTCCGCATCCGTCCCCTCCAACTTTGGCACCTGCTGCCTGGCCTCCCCCCCCCTCTCCTCCCCCATTCCTAACCGCCCCCAGGCAACCGTCTGCAAAGCCGGGGCTCGGGCTGGCGGCGGCGATTAATCTGGAGGAGGCCCCAGTGATTCTCGAAACGAGCTGACCAACCTTCGACCCAGACTACAGCGAGGAGGAGTGGGAGGACCAGCAGGAGGAGGAGGAGGAGGAGGAGGTTGGCTGATGGGGTGGGGGAGTGGGGGGAGTGGGACCGGGAAGATCAGGAGGAAGAAGAGGAAAGAGGACAATTGAAGAGGAGGTGCCAGGTTGCTGGCGCACACGACGCACACGCTGAAGTTCACGACCCCCACGCCAGCGAGCATGCGGATGGTGATGCAGACCACGCCAGCGAGGTTGAGGAGGGTCATGCAGTCGTCAGTCACGGAGATGGCGATCATGGAGATGGCGACCATGAAGATAGCGTCCACGATATCTGCCACGAAGCTGCTGACCATGGAGATGACACGACTGCGGAGCAGGATGCCAGGATGAGCAGGAAGATGAGACTGGGGTGCAGTAAATACCACCAGGAGGAGCAGGAGCGGGGAACGTGGGGAGCACGAGGACAAGGAAGAGGAGGGGCTGGAAGGAGGAGGAACTAATATGACCCGGATTTGGGCCACCAGCTGTTGAAGGAAGAGGAGGGGGAGGAGGAGGGGGAGGAGGAGGAGGAGGAGGAGGAGGAGGAGGAGGAGGAGGAGGAGGGAATTGGAGGATGAGGAGGAGGAGGAGGAGGAGCGAGAAGGAGAAGGGGGAGTAAGAGGATGAGGAGGAGTGTTGATCTATACGCTTGCGCCACATCCGCCGACTTCTTGTTGTTTGGCGTTGTGGAGGCCACCACGGCGGTCGCGAGGGCTGCTTTGGACCGTTTGGAAGGCTGCACGTGGGCCTTTGTCGCCGACGAGTTGTGGTTGTTGTGCCTTGTTCTTGAGGGTCCTTGGGAGCCTCGTGGGGGCTTCTCGGGTGCTGCTTGGTGCCTCCAGGAACTCTCTTGCAGTCGCGAGGGCTCGACACGGGCCCGTTCGGGTGAGCATTTGCGACGGACACTTCAAATGGACCACACGAAACGAACCGACGGAGAGCAAGAGGGAGGGCGAAGATTATGAGAAAGAAATGGTGGAAAATAGGAAGAAGGGGAGGAGTGGAAGGGGGCTTTGTGCGGGCTCCCACGCTGTGAAACATCGAATGGCCTTAGCGCTCTCCGGGGAGTCGGCGGCGATGTCGGCAGCGCAGAGGAAACGCAACACAGCTGGGGCGAGACTCTGCATGAACTGCGCAGTGGAGCGGGGGGAAACGGTGCTGCGAGCAAATTATGAGTCCGCAGACGGCAAACGAAACGCCGAGGCGGACGCGAAGCCGCTGACGTGCCCGGCGTGCGGGGAATCGTGTTCGCACACGGAAGATGTGAAGAAGGAGCAAGTGGAGTATCCTTGGGCGAAGAAATGTGCCAGAGTTGTGTGCGAGGACTTTAGCAAACGCGGCATAACCGCGAAGGGAGTGGCCGATGCGGCAACATGGCTTGAGCGAGAACTGACGCGCGCGGCGTGCAGCCCGAAGTTCCCGCGGCTGGGCCATCCAGGCAGCGCGCAGGAGGCGGCGCACTTCACAGAAAGGGGCGAAAGTAGCGTGCGCAGACTGCAAAGAGCGCGCGTTCACGGTGCGCTCCGGAGACGGGAATGAATTTTCGGGGAGGTTTGGGAAGAAATGTCCGAAGTCTGCGTATGTAGAGAAGAAGAGCTTTTTGCGTGTTCATACGGGAGTGGCACATTGAAGTGCAGATCGCGCGCGTGATTGCGGAAGCCTCCTATTGCGCGCAAGTGGCGGCTGTCGATGCTCTGCGGGCTCGAACATGGGGGCAGAAAGGGGCGGTGGAAGACGATAAGCTTGGCCATAATGCAAGGAGGCGGGGGAGGAGGAGGAGGAGGATGTGGAGGGGGAGGAGGAGGAGGAGGAGGAGGAGGAGGAGGAGGAGGAGGAGGAGGAGGAGGAGGAGGAGGAGGAGGAGGAGGAGGAGGAGGAGGAGGAGGAGGAGGAAGGGGAGGAGAAAGAGGAGGATGAGAAGGAAGAGGAGGATCAGGAGGAGGAGGAGGAGGAGGAGGAGGAGGACCAGTGTAAGCCAAAGAGTCATCAACGATGTTGGATTACACCCTCCCTCCAAACTCCCTCTTCATAGGTCCCTACAACGGTTCGTTTCCTCTTAGGGAACTGCCTCGTTGGAAGACAAGCCTCGTTGAAAGACAACTGTTTGAACACTTTGAAGCATGCCACCACATTTTCTCGGGATGCCAATGCCGCGGATTAACCTGACTGTTGCGTCTTGACGATCCTCAATCGCGCCGAAACGCTATTCCTGGGACGTTAGCACCGCGAGCCAACATAGCTTTGGCACCTTCATAAGCCAGAATCATTCCAAAACGTACTTTCTGGTATGTTATTCATGGGTACCCGTGAAGTGTTGGCAATTTGTAAAGACGAGTGTGCGCGGCGCTAAGGCGAGATCCACCTTTTGAAAAGGAGCCGCCCTCGATCCGTGAAACTTTGACATGTGTATAAGCGAATATGCGCGGCGCGAATGCGAACACCAAATTTGGAAAACGACTCTCCCTCAATCCGTGAAGCTCTTGCAATGTTTGAAGACGAATTTGCGCGGCGCGAAGGCGAGAGCCACATGTTGAAAATCACCCGCCTTAAATGCGTGAGACTCTCGTAACGTTTTAAGACGAATGTGCGCGGCGCTAAGGCGAGAACCACATGCTGAACACGACCCGCCCTCCATCGGTGAAACGGTTGTCAGCTTTGAAACTGTAGGGCTGTAGGGTCACACGTGGTGAGGACGTCTCAGGCGAAACGCCAAGCCCGCCCTAAAAACTGCCCCGGGGTGCGACACGGAAGCGCTATTCATAGGAAACGGAATGATGGAGGAGGAGGAGGAGCAGGAAGAAGAGGAGGATGAGGAAGAACAGGAGCAGGAGGAGGTGGAGGACGAGGCGGTGGAGGAAGAGGAGGAGGAGGATGTGAAGGAGGAGGAGGAGGAGGGGGGATGAGGGGGAGGAGGCGGAGGCGGAGGACGAGGACGAGGAGGAGGAAGAGGAAGAGAAGGAAGAGGAACGGGAGGAACGGAACGGGAGGAACGGGAGGAACGGGAGGAAAGGGATGACAGGGAGGAACGGGAGGAACGGGTGGAATAGGACACTCGGGACGAACGGGAGAAACGGGAAGAACTGGAGGAACGGCAAGAACAGGAGGAACGGGAGGAACAGGAGGAACGGGAGGAAAAGGAGGAACGGGAGGAGGATCGGGAGGCACGGGAGGAACGGGAAGCACGGGAGGAACGGGAAGAACGGGAGGAACGGGAGGAACGTGAGGAACGGGAGGAGCATGAGGAACGGGGGAGGAACAGGAGGAACGGGAGGATGATCGGGAGGCGCGGGAGGAACGGGAGGCACGGGAGGAGGAGGAGGAGGAGGAGGAGGAGGAGGAGGAGGAGGAGGAGGAGGAGGAGGAGGAGGAGGAGGAGAGGAGGGGAGGGGAGGAGGAGGAGGGGAGGAGGAGGAGGAGGAGGAGGGAGGAGGAGGAGGGAGGAGGGAGAGGAGGGAGGAGGAGGAGGAGGAGGAGGAGGAGGAGGAGGGGGAGGAGGAGGAGAGGAGGAGGAGGAGGAGGAGGAGGAGGAGGAGGAGGAGGAGGAGGGAGGAGGAGGGGAGGAGGAGGAGGAGAGGAGGAGGAGGGGAAGGACGGGAGGAGGAGGACGGAGGAGGAGGAGGAGGAGGAGGAGAGGGAGGGGAGGAGGAGGAGGACGGGAGGAGGGAGGAGGAGGACGGGAGGAGCGGGAGGGGGAGGAGGAGGGAGGAGGAGGAGTAGGAGGATGAGTAGGAGGAAAATGATTAGGAGCAGGAGTAGGAGGAGGAGGATGAGGGGGAAGGGGTAGGAGGAGGAGGAGGAGGAGGATGAGGAGGACACACGGGACGAGGAGGGGGACAAGGGTGAGGAAATGGAAAGGCAGGATGGCGAGGAGGAGGAGGAGGACGACGACGAATACTACTACTTCTGTTACTACTACTACTACTACTACTACTACTACTACTACTACTACTACTACTACTACTACTACTACTACTACTACTACTACTACTACTACGGCCACTACTGCTACTAGTCTACTACTACTACTACTACTACTACTACTAGTACTAGTACTAGTACTACTACTACTACTACTACTACTACTACTACTACTACTACTATTACTACTACTACTACTACTACTACTACTACTGCTGCTGCTACTACTACTTACTGCTGCTACTACTACTACTACTACTACTACCACTACTACTATACTACACTACTACTACTACTACTACTACTACTACTACGCTTACTACTGCCACTACTACTACTACTACTACTACTACTACTACTACTACTACTACTACTACTACTAGTACTATACTACTACTACTACTACTACTACTACTACTACTACTACTACTACTACTACTACTACTACTACTACTACTACTACTACTACTACTACTACTACTACTACTACTACTACTACTACTACTACTACTACTACTACTACTACTACTAGTGGTACTACTACTAGTGGTACTACTACGAGTACTACTACTACTACCACTGCCACTACTGTTGCGACTACTACCATTACTACGACCACGACTACTACTACTACTACTACTACTACTACTATTATTACTACTACTACTACTACTACTGCTACTGCTACTACTACTACTACTACTACTACTACTACCAATACTACTACCAGCACTTCAAACAATTATTACTATTAATACTACTACTGCTACTACTGCTGCGACTTCCTTCCCATTTTACTTATGTTTTTTTCTTATGCTCCTGCTATACTACGACTACTCCTACTACGAATGCGTATCGTAATAGCACTGATACGTTTTTATATTATTGTTCATACTATGAAGACACATCGCACACATCGTAATTCTAATACCAAGAAGAATACCGGGACCAATACGACTACTATTAATACTACATAATAGTAGTAATCGCACTGCGTGTAATAATGCTTATTGTACTAGTAGTCATGACAAAACAGACGAATGCTAGTACTACTGACATGGATCGTGCTTACACTGTTGATATGGATCACACTAAGAATATTACTATTCATACTACCAATACTAATACTACCACTACCAATACAAATATTAGTCATACTACTAACCCTGACAAAAACCGATTAATGGATCAATAGAAAAATAATACTATGGATCTTGATATCGATTGTGATATCGTTTTTGCGATCGATAGTGGAATCGATATAAAGGTCGATTGTAAGGTCGATCGTGAGACCGAGAGCGAAATCGATTCCATGAGATCGATAGTGAGATCGATCGCGAGACCGCTGATGAGATCGCTTGTGAGATCGATCGTGAGATCGATTGTGAGATCGATGGTGAGATTGATAGAGAAGTGGGAAATG